ATGAACCATGAAAGTGACATCTAATTATGTTACGCACCAAAATGATTTCGACACCCACACATAAATCCCTGCTCTGTACTGAACAGATTTGCTGCAAAAAAAAAAAAAAAAAAGCACTTAGATCCATTTGTGCTCAAATCTTGTTATCTTAGCAAGATAATGAATAAAATAAAGGAATGAACTTTCAGTAGCCTTTTCCCCCACGCTCTTTTCTTTTGGGGTTCCTCCTTTTGAAAGCCAAGTTTTCTTAACTAATCTTGCGAGCTCAGTCACACACACATCAAAAGATACTAACAGACGCACCCAACAAACACAGAGTAAGTGTGAGTGTGAAGAAATGTATCCCACATGGATAAGAAATTAAAGTGTTTCTTACAGCCCATCAAAAAACCAGCAGCACCCTGTAGTGGGCTGATATATTTTTGTATTTTCTTATAATATTTCACTGTAATTTTAGCTTGGATTTGAGTAGATTGGGGAAGAAGAAACAGATGAGAGAAAACGTGTAGAGAGAGAAGGAGAGAGGAAAGAAAAAGTAGTTAGGGAAAATGACATTTTTCATGCCTTTACTTCATTCCTTGAAACTACAAATAGAGATAGTAAGTTGGGCTAACAAATTAACCCTAACCGGCCCAACTTAACTTGCTTAAAATAATTCCACACAACTAAGTAAATAAAGCCCAAAAACATAGCCCAAATAACAATATTAAACTTTAACAAGTAAATCCCCCATTTCAGAAACACTCAAAACCCAAACCCTAAAGGCACAGTCTTTTCCTTTTTCTCCTCGACCGTCGGCGACTTCTGGTCATCTTCTTCGCCGTTCATCACAATACCCCCGGCCGAGATCGGAGCTTGTCCCCAAGGTCCAAAGTCTGTAAATTTACGGCGAAGGTATGAGTCATCCTCCCAAGTTGGCTGTGATAGATCGGCGTTGGCCCACTGGACCAGGGACTGACTGATGTTTGCTCCCTTGCGGTGGATTGTACAAGTGTCCAGGATGCGCAAAGGTTGGATCTTGAAGTGGCCATCGACATCAACATCCGGAAGCTCATTGGAAGGTAAATTTTTTAGATCCACCTTTCCTTTAAGCAATGAAACGTGAAAAACATGATGAATTTTAGAATCTGGGGGCAAGTCTAACTTGTATGCAACTGAACCTATTTTCTCCAAAACTTTATAAGGCCCAAAGTAGCGGGATGAGAGTTTCAGATTCTTTCTCAATGACACTGAATTCTGCTTGAATGGTTGCAATTTCAAGAAAACTTCATCCCCAACCTCAAAACTTCTTTCTTTTCTGTGTTGGTCTGCAAAATATTTCATTCTGTGTTGTGCTTTTTTCAAATTCTTTTTGACTTCTTGTGAAATTAGCTGCCTTTGTAGAATCATATCATGAGCATCTGCATTAGTTGCATCTAGGAAGGGCCCGATGGCAAAATTAGGCGGAGGAAAACCATATAGGACCTGAAATGGAGTGAGTTTTAAGCTGGTGTGGAATTTGGTGTTATACCAATATTCAGCCAAACTCAGCCACTTCAGCCACTGTTTAGGATTTTCATGCACCATACACCTGAGATAAGTCTCAACACACTGGTTGACTCTTTCAGTCTGGCCATCAGATTGTGGGTGGTAGGCTGAAGTCATATCCAAACTTACTCCCATTAATTTGAAAAGTTCCCTCCAGAAATGGCTAGTTAATATCTTGTCCCTGTCAGTAGCTATGCTTATAGGCAGGCCATGAAGCTTGTAAATAGAGTACAGGAAAACCTTAGCCACATCTTGTGCTGAAAAAGGATGAGATAATGGCAAAAAGT